GGTAGGCTTTGACATTTCCAATGTTCAAGCTACCCCTGGTGTCACAGTTCACTTCCTGTTGCCTGCTGATCAAGCTGTAGGCAGCACCATGTCTTCCTGCATGTCATCATGCTCCCTATCATGATGGTAATAGACTGAACCTCTGAACTATAAGCTGTCACCTCAGTTAAATGTTTTCCTTAATATGAGTTGCTGTGGTCTTGGTTAATGGAATTTTCCCAGGGGCCTGCCCTGAGAAGATACCGTCCAGAGTCCTGGGAAAGGCGCTATGTCCGGCATAGGGTTGTCTGAGGGAAAAGAATCCATGTATACCATGTTCTTACATCCGTTTACTTTATTTCTCTATAACAAACTTCTGTCTACACAGCTTCAGTTTCATCCTGACACTCAGTTTTTCTCTGTCCCTTTTATATCTGTCCTCATAGTTTTAGTAATCTCCTATGCTTTCGACCTCATCTTTGTCCTCTGTACCTTCATCCTCCATCTTTCTTTCCTTGCTTTGTATCCTGGCTCTGAGAAACTCTGCCTTCTTCTCTTCCCTCCAGCCACATGGTTCTGCCTACAATCTATAGAAATTCTCCTTGTTCTCTTCTCTCTGGCCACACAGCTCTTCCTGCCTCTGGAATTCTGTTCCAATCCTTACTGCACCTGGTTATGCAAAAAGTCCTATGGTCCTGAGTCAGTAGCTCTGCAATGCTAACAGGCCTGAAAGCAAGGGATGGTCTGAGCTTCATCTGCACAAGAAACAAAGCTATGCATATACAGCCTGCCTGTCTCCTAGACCCTGCAAGGGTGTTGGTTACCTAGTGGATCAGCAGTAGGTCTGAGAAGCTTAACTATTTGCCAATATGTCCTAGTAGTATATGGGAGCACAAGAATTTCATAGCAGAAGACAGCAGACATATATTAATAAGCTAATAACACCAAATATTCCTTAATAAATGGCTTCCTCTTGAAGGACACTTTGGTCAGTCAAGGTATTGCTTATTATATATAGCTGAATCTCTAAATATATTCTTGTGGTTTGTTGCACTTGATGTTTCTTCATTGCAATAGAAACCCTAACTAAGACCCAACCATAAAACCTTCAACTTACAATTTGTCCTGCCTGCAAGATATGCTGGGGTAAAGGTGGTGCAGAACTTGTGGGGGTGGCCAAACAATGACTGGCCCAACTTGAGACCTATGCTATGAGAGGGAGCCCATGGTTGACACTGCCTAGAAAATCAAGTATGAAAGGCTGAATAGCTCAGAGACCTAGGATAGAACCAAACAAGACTGGCAAAAAAGTCAATGAAATGATTCCCAATAATATTCTGTTATACTAATAGATTGGTGCCTAGCCCAATCATCATCAGAGAGGCTTCATCCAGCAACTGATAGGAGCAGATGCAAGGACCCACAACCAAACATTAGGCAGAGCTCAGGGAATTCTGTGAAAGAGGGGGATAAAGGATTATAGGATACCAGAAGAAAATGGCCCACAGGGCTCATAGGCGCTCACAAAGACTGAAGCGACATTCAGGGAGCCTGTATGTATCTGACCTGTGTCCTCTGCATACATATTTTGGTTACATAGCTTGGTGTTCTTGTGGAACCCCTTAACAGTGGGAGTGGGAGCTGTCTCTGACTCTTTGGGCTGCTTCTGGGACCCTTTTCTTCACACTGCATTGCCTCATCTAGCCTTGATATGAGAGTCTGTGCCTATTCTTATTGCAACTCGTTATGCTATGTTTGGTTGATATCACTGGGAGGCTTGCTCTTTTCTGAAGGGAAATAGAGTAAGGGTGGATCTAGGGCAGAGGGAAGGTGGGAGGAGAGACTGGCAGGAGAGGAGGGAGCAATACATGAGAGAAGAATAAATAAAAAATAAAAGAAAGAAATTATACTCAATGTTTAAATTTTGTATTTGCAAAATGTTTGAGAAAATAAGGCTGGGCAAACCTATTTGGAAGGTATTATTTTTTAAATAGTACTTTAAAAAAGTGAAAAATAGAATCTAAAGCTGTTCTTCAAGGTATTTCTATTAAAGTGGTATTTGTTTTTAGGCTGAATATCATTCTATATATTATAGTATAGATCACGATATTTTAAAATATGAATACATTATGAAGTGGCTAAACCAAGCTACTTAGCATATGCACTTATTTTTTTGTGGTAAGAACACTTAAAATCACTAATATTGACAGAAAACTAATACATTCCTGCCAAATCTGCAAGGTTTATAGGATTAAATAAATTTTCTATGAAAATACTAAAATAAATAAAGAAATGAAGGAAGTAAGGAAGGAAGCCAGCAGGTAGAAAGAAAATCCTTCCCCACCAGAGCTACAGGTAAGGGGTAGAACACACATGAGAAAAGCCTACCACATACAAATGTGGGAAAGGCCAGTATTATGTAAATGTCCTGCAATGGGACATGATACTGAGGATCCAGGGTTTTTATTATTCAACTTGTTCAAGCTCTCTAGCTTGCTTCCTAGAGAATGTCTCTCTTTCTTAACCAACTGTCTTTGTTTCTATCACTATCTATATGTCCTTTGTTCCTTGTCTGGGACATAAGAACCTAGAAATTCTAACAAGTACTCTCTAGACTGTGATCCACATCTACAGCACTGCTGAGTTGGGTTCTGCTGCAACTCTTCCCTTGGACAGTTCTGAAGTTTCAGTGTGTGGGAGAGGGGAGAGTGTTCTATGTTGATTTCTACTGACCTGGCTCCCAGCTGCTCCTGTCCGAGGTGTGTGTGTCTGTGTGTGTACAGGAGTGTGTGTATATGTGTGTGTGTGTGTGTGTGTGCGAGAGACAGAGAGAGAGAGAGAGAGAGAGAGAGAGAGAGAGCAGGTAGTGGAGAGAGAGTGTATGTGTGTGGTTGTGTGTGTGTGGGTATGTACATGTGTGTGCTCTTGTACTGTCCTCCTCTATTGTTATCCACACATTTCTTTGAGGTGGGGTCTATACCTGAAATCTGGAAGCAGAAGTCAGCCTGCCCCAGTGATCTTCCTGTCTTTGCATTCCTAGGAGCAAGGGTCATAGGAATTTGTGGGGACAACTGGTTACTTAGGTGGATGCTGGGATCCAAACTTGTTCTCCTGATTGTGTGGCAAGTGTTCTCTTCTTGTTTTCCAACACAGATATGACCAGGCTTGTTTAGTGTGTTTACAGTGATTGTCTCTTGCAATAATAGAAGTTGTATATTATCCTGATTGTTTTCTTTCGTCAAGTAACATGGAAGAGGTCTTCTATGCTTAAGCTATGCTCAATATCTCAGTTCACTTCCTGTTGCCTATAGGTCAAGATGTAGAAGTTTTAGCTCCTTGTCCAGCACCATGTCTGCCTGCATGTCACCATGTCATACCACGGTGATAATGGACTAAGCCTCTGAAAATTTAAGCCAACCCAATTAAATGTTTTTCTTTTATAAGTGTTGCCATGATCATGGTGTCTGTTCATAGCAATTGAAACACTAAGACAGTAGGCTTTCTTATATATAATCTCCCCTTTCTCCTTAATACTATCCTCCTGATGCAAATAAAGAAAGTAAATTTTTTAATTGGAGGAAAAGTTCAGCCTAAGGCTTTTTACACTACCTTTATAGTTCTTATTCTCAGACTTTGTCAAATGTGAATGACAGATGACAGACCAGCATTTGCACTCTGTCATCTGACAAGACACCTTTTCCTTTTGTCCTAAATAACTGTATTTGTTCATTTGCTTGCTTGTTTTTTGTTGTTTGTTTGTTTTAAGTTAAATGTGATTATGTTGCCAGGCTGGCCTTGATTTCGTGATACCTCAGGCTTCTGAGTTCTGGGATAGCAGAACATGCCACTGAACCAGGCTGAAGAGGCATGTATCTTCTTCTTTCTTTGTATCCTATATGTCCACTTTCTTTGTGAATGAATAAGTTTGTTTTTATTTTTAGTGTTTTTTTTTTTTTCTTCAAAACAGTGTTTCTTTGTGTAACCCTGGCTGTCCTGGAACTCACTTTGTGGACCAGGTTGGCCTCAAACTTGGAGATCTGCCTGCCGCTGCCTCACAAGTTCTGGGATTAAAGGCATGCACTGTCACCACCCAGCTGTTTTTAATGTTCTTAATTAAAATAGAATTACATCACTTTCATACCTCTTTTTCCTTCCCAGCTACCCTTGCGCAAACCTTTCCCATGGCCCCTCAAAGGTTGATAACCTCTATTTCTTTATTATTGTATGTGTGTGTGTTTGTTGTATATATAAATACAACCTACTGACACTGTTTTTATTGTTTGTGTATATATGACTTCAAGGCGACTCTGTACTGGGCAACCAATAAGGGAGCTCATACCTAGGAGAGACCAATTATCCTTCTCCCAGCAATCATTAGTTGCCTTTAGATCTTTGTCTAGGGGTGAGACATCACAAAAATTTCCTTCCATGACAACATATTCATTGGTATTGCCCTTGTTCAGGTCTTATTTATATAGCCATTTCTAGATGAGACTGTTTCAAAGTATATTCCCTGGTATTCTGCCTGTTACAGTTTTCCTGCGCTTTATTCTGTGATGTTCCCTGAGCCAGAGGTGCAGGAGTTGTGATGTAGATGTATCCATTGTGTGGTGGTTTAAATGAGAATGGCTCCCATTGGCTCATGTATTTGAATGTTTGGTTTCTGGTTGGTGGAATTATTAAGAAAGGATTAGGGAATGTGGCCTTGTTGGAGGAGGCATGTCACTGGGGACAGGATTTGAGGTTTCAAAAATCCATATCATTTTCAGTTAGCTCTCTCTCTCTCTCTCTCTCTCTCTCTCTCTCTCTCTCTCTCTCTCTCTCTCTCTCTCCCTGTGGTTGTTGTATCAAGATGTAAGCTTTCAGCTACTGCTCTAGCACCATGCTTGCCTGCATGCAGCCATGCTCCCCACCATGATGGTTGTGGACTCACCCTCTGAAACAATAAGCCCAATAAAGTTTTTCTTCTATAAGGTGCCTTGCTCATAGTATTTTAACAGAGTAATAGAAAAGTAACTAACACATATTGAGACTGGACTCTGCATAGCTGTTGGTCTCTGCATTGTATTCAGTTGTGGTTTTCTGTGATAGTCTCCATTTGCTCTAAGGAGTGGCTTCTTTGATGAGGATTGGTAACAACAATTATCTGTGGATATAAGGATAACATTTACAATGCAGTAAGGAATTTTTCTGGTCTTGAAAAGTGGCAGTAGTAGAATCTTTTCTATGGCCCACGACTCCATTATTCCCAGGAAGCTGGCTAGGTTTCCAGTACCAGGCATGATTTCTCTCTGTTTGAATGAGCTTTAAGTTCAGTTAGGCAGCTGTCGGTTGCCATATACATGTGAGGGCCACTTATTGTACCTTTAAGCATATCTTGCCATGCTGGTGATTTTCATGGTTCAGAGGACTGTTTAATTGCTTCTCTCTCTTGGTAATTTACATTTTCTGAATTTTCTGAAACCATAGAAGCTAAACTGCAATACTGAAAGATACTTTCAGGTCAGACTCACTGGAATTATTCAAGTCTTATGTCCCAAATGTGTAGTCTTTAGCAATACGGACTCATATTCAACCCCTGAGAGGCAACCATGGACTATATCTATAATCTATAACTTTTTGAAAGTCATTTAGTATATTCTGACCAAGCATACAAAGGGAGATTTTTCATGCCTGGTACTAGGCTTTTTGTTAGTTTATGGTTCTTGTAGAGAGCACTGTCAGCCCAAGTAGCTTAATTCCCTTTAAGGCGTGTATAAATATATGTATAGTGTGTGTATCTTATATATATCCTGTATAATTTTAAGTAAATGTAAATGATTCCTTAAGGCTTTATCAAAACAACCTTGGTATTATTTGCCTCTCATTCTCCCTTGTCCTTCTGTATTGACCCCCCTCTCTTTTTCCCAGTTGGAGGCCCCTCCCTGTTATTCTGTCTCGCACTTCATTTTTTTTTTTTTTTTTGGTTTTTTTTTTCGAGACAGGGTTTCTCTGTGTAGCTTTGCGCCTTTCCTGGAATTCGCTTTGGAGACCAGGCTGGCCTCGAACTCACAGAGATCCGCCTGGCTCTGCCTCCCGAGTGCTGGGACTAAAGGTGTGCGCCACCACCGCCCGGCCTGTCTCACACTTCATAATCCTGTTTCCTCCTATTCACCTTCCATGACTCCCTCCTCACCTAGGGTCTCTTTAGAGTTTCCTGGCTTCTATGGTTACTCAGTGTTGTATACTTACATCTGATGATTTGGAGCTAGGGACTGCATATGAGAGAAAATATGTAGCATTTGTCTTTCTAGGTCTGGTTTACCTAACTCAATATAATCTTTTCTAGGTACATCCATTTACCTGCAAATTTCATGAGTTTAGTTTTTTTTTTTTTTTTTACAGTGGAATAGCAATGCATTATTTATACGTACCACTCTTTCACTATTCATTCATCTATTGAAAGACATTTAAGTTGCTCCCATTTCCTGCTGTTGTGAATAGGGTGGCTGTGAATATTACTGAACAAGTACCTGTGGAGTAGGATGTCAAGTCCTTTGGGATTATGCCAAGATGTTGCATAATTGCATCATATGGTAGATTTAATTTTAGTTTCTTGAAAATTCCCTATACTTATTTCCAGAGTAGCTACACCAATTTGTATTCCCACTACCTATAAAAGAGCATTCCTCTTTTTCCACAACCTCACCAGCATTTGGAGTTAGTTGTTCTGTTAATTTAGCCATTCTGACTAGGCTGAGATGAAATCTCAAAATTGTTTTAATTTGCATTTTCCTAATTGGTAATTGAGCTATTTCTTAGCCATTATTATTTCTTCTTTTGAGAATGCTCTGCTCATATCCATAGCCCCTACCCCTTCTGAAACTGTGTCATTTATTTCCTTGTTTGTTTTTGTTGTGTTTTGTTTTAGTTCTTTATATCTTCTAAATATTAATCCTCTGTCAGATGTACAGTTGGCAAGATTCTCTCCAATTCTATGGGATTCTTCTTGATACATTGTTTCATAAGCTGTACAGAAGGTTTTCATTTTATGAAATCCCAGTTGTCAGTTGTTGGCCTTATTTTCTTGGCTAATGGAGTTTTGTTCAGGAAGTTCTGTCCTATACCTATATCTTGTAGGATGATGCCCATATTTTCTTCTAGCACTTTCAGTGTTTCAAGCTTCAAATTGAGATTTCTGCCCACTTAGATCAAATTTTTGTGGTGAGAGATATGGCTCTAATTTCATTATTCTGCATGTATACTTCCAGTTTTCCCAGTACCATTGGTTGAATATGCTGTCCTTTCTCCAGTGTATGTGTGTGTGTGTTTATTGTACAGTATAACGTATATAATTATATATGTGCACATATTATAGATAGATTATAGGTAGATAGATAGTGTGTGTTTTTTGTCAAATATCATATGGCTGTAGTTATGAATACTCTTGTTTGTGACTTCTATCTTATTTCATTGGTTTACATGTCTGTTCTTGTCTAATTATCATATTGGTTTTTATTATTATAGTTCTATAATGTATTCTGAAGTCTGAAATAGCAATCTCTAATATTCTTTCTGCTCAGAATTGCTTTGACTACCTGAGGTTTTCTCTGTAAGAAATTTAGCATATTTTTAATTGCTATTTTTGTGAAGAATTTTGTGGTAATTCCTATTGGGATTGTCTTGAGTCTGTAAATTGCTTTTGGCTGGATGGCCATTTTCACAATATTAATTTTACCTAGGAATGAACAGGACATGTTTTTCCATTTTCTAGTGTTTTTTCCAACTCTCTTTTTAGAGATTTGAAGTTTTCATTATGGAGGTTTCCACACCTCTTTGATGAGTTTTATTCCAAGATATTGTGTTGTCTTTGATACTATTGTAAACGGGAATATGTCCATGCTCTTTTTTTTTTTTTTTTTTACAGTGTGATTGTTGTCACAACAAACGCTCTGAGAAAGAGATTATGGGTGAAGTTTTGTAAAACAAATTCTTTTGTTTCCCACTTGATGGCCAGATCAGTGTCTATCAAACACTGGCCATTCAAGAAAGCTTTATTCTGTAGAAATATTATTTTGTGGGTTCATTTTCTTATACTTTTTACTTAAAATTTGTCACTACAAGAATAGATTTAAAAATTCTGTAAATCTGCCTGTTGGAACAATGAATGCAGTGGGAAATAAAATCAACATTTGTTCTTTAAAAATTCTTGAAGTCACTCAGCATATTCCAGAAGCATAATGAGGGTTCTGTTTGTTTGTTTTTATTTTTAAAGAGAAACAGCTAAAACTGAGTAAGTACATAGGGCCGAATGACACTTCAATGTGATCTAATGTCATCCCCTTCTGTCTAATGACACAGTAGATTTGAAAACTCCTATGTGAGAGTAAAATTCTTCAATTAAAAGAGTCTATAATACATCTTGATCAGAACATCAAAAAGGGACCAGAGGAAGGACTTGGTTTCATTGCTGGATTTCAGAAAGATGGAATCTTTAAGAACAAAAAGTCAGTGGGCTGAACGTGGGATGTGTCTTCAACAGAAAAAGGCACTTAGGAACAGCCTGGATGGCATGTTTGCCCTAGGAACTGAAGTGACCAGATGTCCTTGTGATTCTCTGGTTGAGAGGTACATGAGTCATTCTCATTCAATTTTGAAGTGATTTCATTTTCACCAATCCAATATTGTTTTTAAAAATTCAGATTTCCCTCTCACCATTTAGCAGAAAATACTTCTGTGCTCTTATTGAATGAGCAGGTGACCTTTCCTTGGGAGTAAATTATATTAAGAACATCTAAGAAAGTGTTAAGACCAACTTAACTTAAATATCATCTGGAAAATGGTGTAATGCTGCAGGTTTACCAAGAGCCCTCAGAGGAAGATTGCTTTCCTTTCCCTTATGCGGATATATTCTCTCCCTGATGTGGTTTCGTTCACATACAGAGAGATGATGCTTGTGGTCTGGTGTAAAATAAGCAGATACCATTACTGGCCTGTGAAGGTCTTAATGTAAGGTTGTCAGTTAAAGACATGCAAGTACTATGAATAGCAAAACACTGAAGATAAGCACAGAGTCACCAAGTCAATAATTAGTTCTAGAGTCCATCCTGAGAATGGAGGCAAAATGGAACTTTTCTTTTATAAGTGAAAATATCAACAGCCCCATAAAATTCTGATAAAATGTAATATTTTTTGTTTATATCAAAGGCATTTGTAAATCACTCAACTACTCTTACATAGATGGATGCTGACAACCAAATGTGTAGCTTTTCATTTACAGTCAGTAAAACTGCAATTATTATATTTAACCAGAGGGCACAAGTAAATTAATAAAATGCATAAATGCATGTAATTTCATTTTTATAGTGTTGTAGATCACAGCCAGGACTTTGCATGTGTTGGGCAAATATTCTGCTATTGATAAAAATCCCTACCCCTTAATAAGTGTCATTTTAATGACCATATTTTTGTGCATTCATAATAGCCTCCAATGATAGAATTTGCCTCTGCATAGATTCTTTAAGTAAAACTCACTGCAGGATAGATAAGCTGAGTGAAAAGCCACTATCCAGAGCTCGACAGTTCGCACACAAATTTGCTTCTTCTTACTCACACAGTGTGCTCTCCGAGATCTGCAGGGGCTGTGCTCTGAGCTGTCATCATTCTCATTCTGGGATGTGGGCTGATTGAAATGATGCTGACTAAAACACCATTCATAGTCATGATGGAAGAGAACAAAGCAAATGTCCTCTGGGCTCTCAGAGCCACCACCTGTAAGTGATACTCATCATTTCTGCCTGCATTTCATTAGTCAGATGAGTCACACAGATAAACCACATTTCAAAGAGCCCTGGGTATTGGATAAAAATAACACCACTAGCTTAGCTTGCCTCACATACTCCATGATACATTTGATTCTTTGCACTGGATCATCAACCATATACAGTAGATTTGGTTTTACTTCCATAGTTTGGATCTGCAATGTTCCCCTCACAAAGACCCTGAAGGTCCAGTCACCAGTTTGAGGAGTGATTGAGAGGTGGGGGTCTTTGGATGTGATATAGGAGATTTAACTCAGGTCCTTATACATGCTAGGTAATGCCTTACCACAAGCAGTATCCTCACCCCTGTTTTAAATGTTTCAATTTTGAGATAGGGTATCACTAA